GGCGGGCGCCCAGGCGCGGGGGCGACCGAGCGCGACGCGGATGGACTAGGGGAGCCCGAGGCGGAGGGGACGGAGCCGGGAGAGCTGAGGAGGGAGGGGCAAGGGACTCCCGAAGGATTTACTCGGACAGGAAATTAACCCGCTGTTAAATCCCGGGGGAGAGGAGGGAGCGGTAGGGGTGGCCAAGTGGCTGACGCCCAAGGGGGCCTCACCCGGCCGGGCAGCTTATTCCCGAGACCCGAAGAGACCTGTCGTGCGCACTCGGCCAGGAGCCCTCAACAACTAAGTTCAGTACCCGAGCGTCCCCGCACCCGAGAGGGCGTGTCAGGGGCGTGCGCCCCGTACCCCGGCGCCAGCCAGGTGCCAAAGGACTCGCCCCGCGCGCCACCGCCGTTGCCAAACGGAGCGCAACCTGGGTCACTGTGGCTCCGCGCCCGGGGTAATCCCCGCGGGTTCTCGGGGGCCGTGCCCGGGGCTGCCAGCTGCGGTTGGGCGCGGCTCCAGCGGGCTCCGGGGAGCTCCAAGGTGTCTGGTCTTCCTTCCTCCCTTCCCCCACCCGTACTCGACCCATCTCAGCGAGGCAGGTCGGGTCAGCGAGGCTGACAGCTGCCAGAGCCCCTGCTGCTGCCCAGAGAGAGGCCAGGGCCAGTCAGCACTTTCCATGTTGGCCCTGAGCTAGTTGGGGAACTGGCAGTCACCAGTACGGATCTGCTGCCGGTACCGGCACTGTGGCCTGGGGTCAGGAGAACTGTGTTCCAAGTTGTCTGGCCTCAGTACCCGTGCCTCCACCTCTCCGGACCCCGTGTGCCCCATCAGTAAAATGAGAAAAGGTAATATGTCTGTCACCAGCTAGGCGGGAAGAGCACAGGGTGGGGGAGGAACATGGGATCAAGAAACAAAGTTAAAAAATTATCTTTCACCTTGACTTCCACTCCGCCACCAAACCCCCAGGTTTGGTCCCCACAGGAGGTGTCGAGGTTGAAAGGACAGCTAGGCGTGGGCAGTTTAACTTCAGACACAAGCAGATTTCCCTCTTCACAGTGCC